CACTCCTCGCCCACTCTCCGGCTCTCACCCGCTGGTCGTCCTCCCACTGCTGCCGCTCCTCCTCCGTCTCAAAGGCAATGCCCTCCTCCCCGTCTGCCCGCCGACCTGGAGAGGGTGAGCTGGTCAGCCCGGGCACCAGACGGCCACTCCGGAGGAAATGCCACAGAGCCCGACCTTGTGCTGCGCGGCAAAAGGGGATTCTGCCGCCGTCAAGCCCAGGCAGCTCAGCCCGGGCTCCTCACCTCTCCCTCTGGAAAGCCGTGGCGTGGCCCCCAGGTGCCTCCGGTCATCAGCCCACTCGTTGTATTTGTATGATGGGGTGGGCAACGGCGTCTTATCTGTGTACCTGCTCCTCACAGACCTGAACAAACAGCACGAGGGAGGAATTGGTGCCAGGCACTACTCTGTGCTTCTGGCAGCTCACAGCAGCAGCCCCAGGCACCGATACCTGTCCCGGTCTCTCCGGTCCGTGTCCCGCAGTGATGACGCCCGATGACTACGCTCCGAGTCTCGACAGGAAGGCACGGGTGAGGGAGATTCCCACTGTGAGCGGCGGGCACTGCTGTAGCCACTGTCATCTTCCTCCCAGCTAGAGCGAGACGGCGTGGCTGCGTCTGGTGGAGGCGATGGGGTTAGACACCTAATGTTCAGTGACCCCAGGCACCTGGAGCCGCCTTACGCCTTTAGCAAGGAGCACAGAGACAACACGGGGACCCATCTGCCTTCCCCCTAAGAGAAGGGGCTGACACAGTGACTCCAAGGAAATTTGCGAAAGGGCCACATCTCCATCACACAGACCCCGAACAGATCCCACCATGCAGAAATCAGCCAGATTTTCACACACACAGCTGGCAGATTGCTCCCAGACCCAGGTCGAGCTGGTTTTATGCTTGCCCTAACCACAAACGTTAGGAGATGCATGTTTTTCTATCCACCCCTGTCCTGACAAAAACAGTAGGACACAGAAAACAAGCCCCTTCCTGTTAGGTGTCACACGAGAACACTGCTGGGTCCCACTCCTACCTTTGGGCCGATGCCTGGGACTCTCTGGTTCACTCCTCCTGCTGCTTCGCTCCGATGAGCCATCTCTCTCTGACCTGCTGCTGTGACGACTTCTGTCCCGCTCCTCTGCGAACAGAAAGTGAGATCAGGTGCCCAGTGCACAAACAGGCTTCCCCAGTCTGCTGCAGAAACACCACAAACGTTAGCTACGGACTACAAACGGGCTGAGGGACAAGCCCAAACCCTGAACAGGAAGGGTCACAAAGGTCTCTGAGCAGTTACCACGGTCCCGTTTACGATCGTGGTCCCGATCCCTGCTGCGATCCTTCTTTCGTTCCTTCTCCTCCTTGGAGGATGCAAAGACACCATGTTCCCGACGCTCCTTCTCCCGCTGCCGGCTGCGTTCCCAAAACTCCTCGCTGACACCCCCTGTGTAGGAAGGTGTTTCTACATGGACGGACCGGTAATGCCTGGAAGGGCAGAGCAGAGAGAAGAAAAGCTCAGCAGTGCTGAGGAATAGCCAGCCATTGACTTGTCCCATGTAACTCTCATTCTGACCTCTACTATAGCAGAAGCTTGTGATTAAAAGTGCTCTCTCCATCCTTTGCCAAGTCTGCTCATGCTCTCAGACATGTGTACTTCTAAGCAGGCCGCTGCCTCCAGACGTCTGGAAGCAGCCAGTCTCACAACTAGGATGGCTGGTGTCTGCAGGCCTAACAGCATCCAAAAGCACTCCTGCACGTAACGCCCCAGGGAGGGCTCCAGCGAAAGTGCTGTCACAGACCTCCTCCGATTTACATTAGTGCCCCACAGGCCTCCCCCAGTGAGATTGCCAGACCTCCCTGCCACGAAGGGAGTTAGGGCCCTGCCTGTCACAGGGTGCAGTCCCCGAAGTCCCACGCTCACGCTCATTCCCTCAGCACCGATCCAACGGCCGTGAGGCGCCCCATGCCATCGCCAGCACCAGGAGCCCCTGGCACACAGACCGCACCTGTCCTTGCGGGCACCCCGGCTGCTCCGATCGGTCTCCTCCTCCTCCTCGTCCTCCTCGGGGCTGCCGCCCTCGTCACGGCCTTCTTCCCAGTCCTTGTAGGAGGACACC